TGTATGTAGTCCATGTTTTCTTGAAGCGTGGGATCGTATCGAGCGCCTTCTGCCAAAAGCGACGTCTTGCCTCACCAGATCCTACATCAGGTACTATTCCAACCATGCGGAGGCATTTCATTGTTATCAGAGCAACTCCTTTGATATAAATATCAAGAAAAGTGAGACTAAGAATGACTTCCATAGCTCTGGTCGGTGTTGTTTTCATAATTCTTATTATGTTGAGATATGTTGTTCTTTGAATTTATTCTTGATTACAGATAGCAGTTAATTTTCGGGTTTTCGACGACTCTGGGGGAGAAATTCCAGGTACGCCCCGCGGTTCGGCGACATTGTTCATGAGCAATGTGTGCTTTTTTGACTCTGTTTCCTAAATGCGAGTTCATTTATTTATTAATAAATATATTTTAAATTATACTTAACCGTCCGCACTAAGTTCTATTTGTTGTGGTCACTTTTTTGTTTAAAATTAAAATTTGTTGATGAATTTTCAGTATAATTTAACTAATTACACGTCTACGAAAGCCAAATTTACTAGGATTTATCATAAGTAATGTATACCTGAAGTGCTTAACAATATATGGTCCAAGCTCCAGAATTATTAGAACTGGTAAACACCAAAAATATGCACGTAAAACAAGCATCGATTTATAAACACATGTAGCACGATAGTACGCATGCTCCATGTTAACTTGCTGTTAAAGGTGAGACCTAGGTACTTCACCTCTGTTGCAAAGTTTAGTTTTATGTTTAGGAATATATTTTTGAAATTTCCTGTTTGCAGAATGATCAGGTATTCTGCATATGCTATTGTGTAGTAACTGTCATTATTGAGGCGGCTCATGATGGTGTCAAAAACTATGTTCACATGTTTAAAGTAGAAGTTATAGTACCCCTCGCTGTGGACATCTCCTAGCAACCAAGCCTCTTACATTCACAACTTCACTTATGTTTACTGCTTGCTAGCTTTAAGAGCATGTTATGTATCGACCCACTAACCAATCCGTGGAACATTTCTGTTGGTTAGTGAGTGTATTATCTTGGTTTAATCAAAAGCATCTTCAACTTCTATGAAAACACCCAAGGCGGACTCCTTATATTTCAGGGATCTCTCTATCCATCCAGCAACTAGATGAAAGGCTGAATCAGTAGATTAGCCTGGGGTGTATGCATGTTGGTTTGGGTGTAGTGGTGTTGTTCTATTCAGCGCATCTCTTATGTACCTTTCACATAGCCTTTCCAATGTCTTTATGGAAAATAGTGTAAGACTAATTGGTCGGTATGTTTTTGAGACAGTGTATTCCATCCTTCCAGGTTTGGGTATGAATACTACTTTTACCTCTCTCCATTTTTTGAGGATATACCTTAGAACCAACGAGGATCTGAATAAACCTACTAGATGCGGTGTGAGTTCTTCCAGACCCCACTGAAGTAGTGCTGCATAGATACCGTCCGGTCCTGGCGATTTAAATGGACAGAAGCTGAATATTGCTCATATAATTTTGTCATCGCCTACAATGTGTTTGGCAGTTTGCCAATCATAGACATATGGGTGTATTCTTTCTCTGCGCAGTTAACCACGTCTGTGATGACCGAGTGTTAACACCAGAAGGTTGGCTTTTTTCATGCCATCCTCTTTGATTAGCGCACAATTGCTTTGATGTAGATCTTTTGAGAGAGCTTTGTGTCAGACAATTTTTTAAATTATCTGACGTGAGATTTGTAGGTAACCCAGTTTTGTGGTTGATACCTTAATAAAGGATTTTTTGGAGATCTTCCTGAGGTGATCCACCTCTTAACATTACCATATCAGTAGTTATCTGATCGTATTGAAACAGCCTCAGGGAACAGGATTTCTTATAAATATTGTTTATTGTGCTTTTGATAGTGTTCGAGTACTTCTCCAAAGCATTGTTGTAGCTTAATGATTCGGCCTCCACTTCTCTCAGAGCCTCTTAGAGAAGGTGGGCATAGGTTGCTGCCCGTCTTCTTAGGGTTTCAAGATAGTATGGAGATCGAAAACGTCAAGTTTATTTTGAATGTTAACCAGCGGTGGTCTGACATCGAAATGTTATTAGACACTTGCCAGTTTAGAATTGATTTATAGATACCAGTTGTGGATAAAATGATATCTATTAGTGTTTGACTGCGAGAGTTTAAAAATATTAGTGTAGTACCTTTATTTAAAATACAAAGATTTTTGGTAATTATATTCATAAGGTGACTTACCTCTAGCGTTGTTTTCCTTACTGTTCCAACTAGAGTGATGAGCATTTGAGTCGCAACCAGCTCAAACTTCTGTTCCAGGCAGTATACAATCAGATCCTTCATCTCTTTGTTGGGTGGTGACGTGGTTGCGATGGAGGGGAGGTATGCCGATGCCCAAGATCAAAGTTTTCTTTTCCATAGAAATACCATGATTTTTACATTTAAAGAATAAGATAACGGGTCCTTTTTTTTAATTTTTATTTCGTTTATTTTATATTTTTATTGTTAAAAAAAGCGGATAAATATGTATTTTACACTTGGTAAAAATTAACTCGGTATTTCTGACACTAAGCCGTTCATTATTTATTTTCATTATTAGTAAATGCATAACCAACGAATGATAATGTCATTTCACTTACAGGTAAAGAAAACTCTAAAACCTCACCCATCCTATTTTTCATAATATTGAGAAAGGCATATTAAATGTCATTCATAGTAGCTAAACTAAACTGATATCCGAAAACATGTCCACTAAATATAGAGATGCAGCTGACTAATTAACGCCAATAAAAGGATGTATATTAATTGTCTAAACACGGCTCTTAAAGTTCTAAATTTAAAAAAGTGGACTGTATTTATAAACAAATCCCATTAAACGCATTTAATATTTATCTTTGGAGAAATGTCTCGCAACCGAAATCTTAATAACATTTTAGCAAAGAATAATAAAATTATCAGTTTAGTACAGATTCATTAATCAAGAGAGAAGTAACCGAGTTATCTTTATAAAAACGCCTAATTTCGTAATGGATTTTTTGCTCTACCTCAAATTAGGTCGACGAAATTACACACTTTGGATTAATAAGATTTTTTATTAACATTGTCAGGTAATTTTCAAGCATTTTTTAGAGTTACTTAAGAAATAGGGAAACACGTAGTCAGGATTTTACCCCTAGGGAATGGGTATTAAGTAAATTATAATTTATTCAATAGGTATGTGGTGTATTAATTTTAATTAAATTTTATACGAGAAAAATGTTGGTAAAAATACTTTTAACAGGTAATATTCATTTCTTTCTTCTTCGGGGCGAATTTATGGTTTCTACTTATATTTTAATGGTATAGTCGGCGTATTAGTTTTAACAAGATTTCCGTTTCTGTTATCTATTTATTAATTTTTGTTTAACTCGTTCTTCTCCTGTTTTCTAAATATATTAAATTTTCTATTTCTGAAGAGCCTTCTTTCACTATATTTTGTCAAATTCTGCCATTATTTGTCTGCTTTTCTTTGCTCAATTTCAAAATTTGACCTATGTACAGTGGTATTTAAAACTCATTTGATAGCTCTAAAATTAAAATTTGTTTAGTAAGGTAATTTTATTGTTTTAACATCGGGCATATATGAAAGAAAAACGAAACATGTAAGTTTGAATATTTATTCTTTGAAATTTTTTCTTTGGAGATTTACAATTTGATGATAATTAACCTAACCTAACCTTTTTGGTAAAATTGGCTTATTCATGATAATCTAAATCTATAGTTTGTATAATTTTGTTGAGTGCATATTAGAGTCGAAAAAAATAAATACAACAGCAATTTTAATTAATAATTTTAATATTTACTACATCCGAGTTGGGTTAGTTTTATAGTGGTTTTGAAATTCACTAATTAATTTACTTAACTTTTTAGAATTTTTAATTTTCAACATAAACTAAACATTATTTTGCAGTTAACAAGAATATGTTATTTTTGAATTTTGTGTAATTCAATTTTCAAGTACATCTACCAGAAACGCAATTTCACCAATAATTTTCTGGACGGGAATAAAACAAATACAGTATGGTTCAAATGAAAGGAATAAATTCATTATAATGGAAGTAGTTGGTTTTTCGAAAAAATGCTCGAACAGGTCAATTTTGTTTACTCAATACGCAATTTTTTAAATAGAATTTAATTTTCCCCCACTTCCCATTTTTGGGCAGTGACGTCATTGACAGTTTTTTTTAAATAGTAACCCCAATTTTTTTTTCTTGATTTTGTAAGATCTTGCAATTTCCTACTCGGAAACATAATATTTGAAATATCTTACATAACAATTTTTTTTGAATAAAAGTCATTTAAAGATCAGACATAAATTTTATTTTATTTTGAGAACACAATAAATGAATAAAAGATAATTATTTGTAATTAAGTGCTTAATCTAACAAAATAATAATAATAATAATAATAATATTAATAATAATAATACCAATAATAAAAAAGAATTTGTGAAATTGTCATTAAATTCTTTTTATTATTATTATTTTTTAGATGAAGCACTTAATTACAAATAATCTTTTATTCATTTATTGTGTTTCAAAATAAAACTAAATTTATGTATCTGATCTTTAAATGACTTTTATTCAAAAAAAATTGTTATGTCAGATATTACAAATATTATATTTCCGAGTAGGAAATTGCAAGATCTATCAAAATCAAGAAAAAAAAATTGGGGTTACTATTTAAAAAAATTGTCAATGACGTCACTGCCCAAAAATGGGAAGTTGGGGAAAATTGAATTTTATTTAAAAAATTGCGCTTTAAGTTAACAAAATTGACCTATCCGAGCATTTTTTCGAAAAACCATTTACTTCCATTATAATGAATTTATTCCTTTCATTTGAACCATACTGTATACTTGTCCAATGTGTGTGGCAATAAAAAGACTTTTTCTTATTATAATAATTACTTAAAAGATATTATTTGCTTGATATTAAACATATAACTAATAAGGAATCTGTTTTAAATTTTAGGAATTTTGAAGAACTTACATCTTGGAGACCACAGGAAAATGGTTAATAATGGTGAAGAACGCATAGTTTACAATTGGAATAGAAGTGATTTCAATGGTTGTACCGACTTTTACATGTTGAACGTGTTTTTCATACATTTATTTTTAGGATTTGGTAGCTCATGTGTCTGAAATTTGAAATCCGCATCCGAGGAGTATGAATTCTAATAAGTCTCAACAAATGGTAATTAGTAGTATTCATTTAATAATTTTAATATTGTTAATTTTATTAATTTGTTTTATTAGGATTAGTTTAAAAATTCCTTAAAAAATAAACAATTTTTATAGGGTTAAGGTATAGATGGCGAAGGTTTTTATTTTCAGGTGAAAGTTACCCTGGATTAAAAGATGAATATTTTGCAGTGCATAAACCTAGTAAACATATATGCTCTATTGTATTCGTTTTAATTTTCCCTTTTATTGGTTTTGTTTATTTAAAAATATACGTATAAAAAATAACTTCCTTCAGTAATACCTAAGTATCAAAATAGATATTAAATAATAATTCTAATAATTACATTCTATTATACAGTGCGTTCATAAAATGTGGAATCTCTCCATTATCTTAAGAGTTCATTATTTTTGGAGGTCGTATGTAAGGTAGTGGAAGTAATACTTATTTTTTGAAGCAACAAAAAAAGAATTAAAATAAAAAAATTGACCTATCAGAGTTTTAGCTCTGCAAATAATTAACTCTTAAGATAATGGATCGTTTCCACACTTTATGAACGCACTATATAATTTACTTTATGTATGCAATATATTTTTTTTTCATGTAAAGTTTAAAATATTTGATTGTATCACAAAACCTACCTGAATTCGAGAGACGCTAAAATGGTGGTTCCCACCTTATCGAGACTGAGGCCCACAAGGGTACACTCGTAACGTAACAAAAACGAGAAATGATTTAACTTGGAACGAAATATAGAAAGCCGATAGTAGTATTAGCAAGTTGTATTTTTTGGTTTGTGAAGCATTGGCATTACTCAGGTTAAACCATGTGATGAATTTCACAAGCCCTAATTTTTAAAACCATTCTATATCGCCATTTGATTAGGGTTTAAAAACTTGTCTGAGCAATTTATCCAACAATAATTGGCCCCTTTACCTCTTAAGCCTGCTTATGTAAAATATTTGGGCTTCTTACTTCGCCTATTTATATTCTATTAATAAAGGACAGAAGGATGAGTATTGCAACTATGTTAAAAGAAATAAATTGGCATTCAGTTCAGAATTATGTTCAGTACATGACTGATATTTATTTATAAAATAAAAATGACATAGTACCACCGCATCAGATCTATTAGAAAAAATTCAATATAATTCGCAAATCACAACTATAATACAAGAAACCAATCTGACTTTCATGTACGGCAAGCCATCACTAAAAGTTCCCAAAATAGAATTTTTATTAAAGGTTTAAAAAATGTAATAACTGCCTACAGAAATTAAAAAAAAAAAAAATGTATTCAAAAGTAACCTCGAACAATACTTGAGAAATATACAGAACGGATATACTTTCTTATGATAATACTTTTTAAACCTGCCACAGTTGACATCTTGATACTTGACAGGCACAGCCAAGCATTATTTTGATTTTTGCCAAATAAAATGGCCGGTTAATTATTCTATGGGGTTGCGACAAAGAAATTTGATGGTGTTTTTGTGGCTAGGGGCGAAATAGTAGTACGCTTAATAGCACCACCATAAAAAATCATTTTTAAGAGCTTATATATTTTTCATAAATTGGCAGGATTGGCGACTAATTTCGAATGAAATAAGCCTCCAAAATGGCTATATGGTCACAACCCGCATTAGAAATTTCACCTTTACTATCAACAGCTGTTGTTTGACAGGTCGTTAGAGAATGTTTGCAATTTATGGAATGTGAATAATGTTAGGAATTTTGACGTTATAAATAATTAAAATTCCTAAAATTGTTATTAAAGTAGTTAGAATGAACCGAAATTTCTGAAAATCAATAGGGTTCTAAGTTAGAAGTAATTATTTAAGAAAATCAAAACCGCAAGTCAATTAGAACTTTCGTTCTAGAGTTATCGTGCCGGCATACATACATACATACGACCAGACGAAAAATTTTTTTTTGGATTTTCGGATTCAGAATGTGTAACGGTTGGAACGGTTTTCGTTATTTGACCCAGACCCGTTTTCGTTATTTTGAAACCAACATCTCTACACAAACGTCATTTGTCGTTTATGTCTAGTGTCAAAACTTGGATTGTCATTTTCATTTTTATCTGTCGACAAGCAACTTGATTATAGAATTTTAATTATCTATTATCTGGGACATCCAATGTTATCTTAAATATTTTTAATGGCCATCTGATTTTAAAAAGGTAAGTTTCCTACCGATATTTTGTTGAAAATATATATTTAGTACAAGAAATGTCAAATTTGAAACATAACCTCTACACCTCAACACATTGAAAAACATAAGACATCACATGTTTTATATAAGTTCATATATTATTTTGTTTGAAATAGATAATATACTTTACTATATTTATATATGTTAAATAAGACTTCTTCTTTTCCTATTAAATTCTAGTCTCTGTGTAACTATTCAAATAATAGTTTAATGTGTTCATTTGAATTTGAATAATTAAGTCTCTGTGAATTAGAATTTGTCGCTACCTTATTTAATTATAATATCATAAAGATCAGTGGTTTTCTATATTTTCATCACTGATCGATTGTCAAGTTTAGAAAGTTTTAAATATAGTGGCGTCCAATATTCTCTTTCAAAGTCATATGAGTTGTTTAATAACCTGACCCACTTCCCAAAATCGTAGAGCTTAAAACACTATAAACATTTATAAAATAATAACATCACATTACAAATGATCAGAAACATAAAAAAAAGTTTTAAAAAATGGGGGTCAGAAAATTTTTTCGTCTGCACGAATGCAATACTGAGGCCTCATAGGAAGGGCATCAGTAAAATATTTCCTCAAAACGAAAATTCCATAGAACTACATAAATGAGAATTTTGAATTTGGCGGTACATGGGCCAAGCCCCGGCCAATGCCGGAGCATTCTCATTGGCTGGATACATTTGCATTTTATCGTATGCTACTACTTTCTCATTCATCAATGAGCTCCCCCATCATTCATTTCACGTTGTCGATTGTTAAACGCTAGTCGGCTAAGTCCCATGGTTAAACGTCCCAACAGTAACTCATTGACGACGTGGCCGGAGAGATCACTGCCTTATTTTTGCGAGAATTTGGAATATTCCATGCTTATTGTCTAAAGGGGTGGGTTTTATCGAAGGGAAGTTAATCGAATAGAGCGGTTAAATCAATTATACTCTATATATATCCAAATGTAATTAAGCGTCTTATCTTTATTTTGTTGAATACGTTAGTGAACGTACTGTATATCCTGTTAATATCAATATGATATTTTTAAAATACCTACTGAAATACCAAAAAAAGCATGCACTATCACCAAGACATGGTGTTGTTTTGTATTAAAAAAAAAAAACAGGAGATAAAGAAGATCCGTAATCAATATATGGCAGAGAGAATCTGGATGACTTCCTCTACTAAGATCATTTTCTAACATAATAGAAGTAGAAAAATCTTCTTCTTTTTAATTATATCATCCATAAAACTACTTGCCTCTGTAAAAACTTTTGATAAAAAAATGTTTGCAAACATCATCGGTCGTATCTACTCTAATCCTATATAATACAGTAACTTCTTTATTTTTGAAAATCTACTGTGTCTTGTTTTGTATAGCTTTCTACTTAATATGTTTCCAAATTTTTAAATATAAAATTATCGTGACTTGCTTCTGCCTACAAGCCTATCTTCAGCCGCTATTTAAAAAAAATTATAAGTAACAAAAAACATACAATAAAAAGTTGAATACTAACTTAAATTGCTCACATTTAAATAAATTGGTATTGGTATAGATAAATTAAAAGAAAAAAGGTAATCGAAATCGTCGACAACAGAGATTGTCCAGACGAATAGACAATGGTGAAAGTATTGACTGATTCTGATAACAATTAATTAAGTTTTTTTGGTATCACTTTGTGTACGTATTTTACTTTTCATTGTATGTTGTTTGTTACCTATAGTTTGTTGAATTTTTATTTGAAGGTCCAAAGATGGCCTTATAAGCTGAAACCAGTCGCGACCAATTTTAAATAAATAAATGTTGTGTGATATTAATTTTGAGCCTTATTCTAACTTCATAACAATCTTCAAATACTTCATTTACCTTACTTGTTGCTGTTTTTGAAGGCACTTTGCTCTGTTTGTTTAAGGCAAATATAAAGGTTATCTAGCTGGATTTTTGTATTTTTGTTCTGGAGAATTAAAATATACGCAAGCCCCGATACCAGAGTGTGTGGGATTCGTCCTTATGCACTACTTATTAAAACTCTTCTTCTTAGCCTTTAGATTAAGGCTTCGGGATCAATCCAGTGATTATACCTTTGAAGTCTTCAGGTCATTTCCTCTACATGCTTCCCATTCCTGGTAGCATTTTTCTTCGGCTTATTTTTTCGTTGTCGCTTTTTAATTAATTTCGTGAGTTTATTCCACTTTCATCTATTTTCCAACATGGCTACCACTATGATATGCGGGGTTATATTGTCCTTGTTTTTCTTCATGTTTTTTCTTTCCACTGCTCTCACACAAAGATAGTGTGTCAAGTCTTCTTCAACGCAGTACATGCATCTATTGCCTTGCCAATTCAATTTGTGTATTTGTGGAAGGATCCGTGTTCACTTAAAAACTGTTCAAGATAGTTATTCATTTTGCGATGTTCTCAGCTAAGATATTTATAAAGATCTTGGTACAACATTGAGCCATCGATGTTGTTTCATCCCATTTTTGTTGCTAGATAGTTCTGGTTTGTAGCACTTCTTCTTTCCTGGAAGCTTTAGTTGTTTCCCCCTTCCACTCTTTTTGCTTGTATCCTTTCTTGAACCAGTATTTGGATGAGGGTCATCGCAGCTATGGTATTTGCGGCTGCTGGTCATATAGTTCGGTATGCACTGATCATTAGGATCAGCAGCCTCGTCTGAATTCCCTGGGACATATTACCAACTTTTTATGTTTCGCCTACCTTGTGCCATACCGGTGCTACATAAAGTA